CAATTAAAAACAGCTAACATTCATGGAGTGCATGTTTTGTACCCAGACAATGTTTTGCACATTTTATATTTAGTAGTATGTTTAATCCTTGTAACAATCTTACAAGATTAGGAGAGATTGTTAGAAATTTAAAAACTGAGGTACAAAGAGGTTAAATAACTATCTATCGTCTCAGAACTAGTATATGGCAGAGATTTTAATCCAAGAAATCAAATCAATATACTATGATCTCTTCAAAATAGCACAGTCACAGAAGAATCAGTGACATCAACTGGAACACTGAAGAGATGATAATACACTTAAAAGATTGAGGAAGAAATGGATTTAGAGGGAGGTAGGAAGATTAAAATCCTGATTTTTTTTCCATATTAAATTTGAGATGTCTATAAAGCATCCTGATGGAGATATCAAAGAGGTAGTTAAATACACAGTTTCCAATTCAATGGGGAGGTCAGGGTTTAGAGGAACATGGAGTCAATATGTGATAACTGATGGTATTAAAGCTATATAACACAAAACATCACTAAGGAAAAAGTGTACATATAAAAGATTAGTAGTCAAGGTTGAAGCCCTGAGGAGCTCCTCAAAAGGTAGAAGGGAAATTATCTAGTAAAGAAGATAGGAAGCAGGGCTGGGATCGTGGCTCAGTGGTAGAGTTGCATGTGTGAGGCCCTGGGTTCTATTCTCAGCACCGCATATAAATAAATGAATGAAATAAAGGTCCATCAACAACTAAAAAAAATAATTAAAAAAAAGAAGATAGGAAGCAGTAAGAGAATTAGGCAAATCAGAATTATTAGAAAAGCCAAAAAAAAGGATGCTAATTCAAGATGAATGGAGTGAGCTATACTCTACCAAATGCTGCTGATAAACCAAGAAATAAGATGACAGAACAGTGACCACTGGATCTGACAGAGTGGTGATCACTAGTAAATCTGATAACAGTAGTGACTATGAAATGATGGGAATAGAAGGAAGCTAGATAAGAGTGAATACAGAGGAAAAAAAGAGAGAGAGATGAGGAATAACAACAGCCTGAACAATTCTTTGTTGAAAGTTACAAAGCAGGGAAACAGAGACCAAGCAGGAGCTAGAAGACAACCAAGAATTTTTTTCCAAAGATTGAACCCACAAACTAGAGAATTCTATATGTTTATGGTAATAATCCAACAAATGACCTCTCATTCTACCCTAAATAAAATTATTGTGCTATAAAATACATTTATGTTCCTTTGGATATTATGCTAGGAAATGTTACCCTCTCAATAAAATCACAATTAGAAATTATTCTAGGAGATTTCAATACTAAAAATAATTATTTCTAAAACAACAGTATTATATATATATATGCACACACACACAAATGTGATATATATTATATATAATCTGCTGCGCTATACATAAATCACACACAAAAAAATCACATGGAAAATCTAGTATGGCCGTATATGACATATGATAGTCCATACAATAGACTCTACTTCTAAAAAGAGTTACAATTCTTTTTTTATATTTAAAAAAAAATTTAGTTATAGATGAACCCAATATCTTTATCTTGTTTATTTTTATTTATTTTTTATGTGGTGTTAAGGATCGAACCCAGTGCCTCACATGTGCAAAACAAGCACTCAAGAGTTACAATTCTTGATGCTTAATCATTTGTAATTTTTTGTTAGCATCAAGCTGCTTTTACCCCTTTAAATACATATGTAAATAAGGTAGAACTTAAAATGTTTATAATTTTTTTTATCACTTTACTGATTTTATTCTAAGTAAGTTCCCATATGTGGCATGACAAAATATCCTTAAAAGGGGTTGTGAGCATACTAACCAATAAGAAAAGTCACTGCTTACCACATCTACTGAGATATATGATTACTAGCTCATGTCTAACAATTAACATGTTGACAAGTGATGGCCATTCCTATATAACACCAGGCATTAATACAGTATAAAACAGTATTTGCTCAAACTAAGAGTTAGTAATACATGCAACTACCAGAGGTAATAGGGTAAGATCAAGATCAAGTAAGTTTCCTGATCCCATTAGGCTGAGAAAATAAGAATGGGGATGAATATTGTTATTGGAGTTTATTAATTCTTCAAATCTTAAGTCAGTTCATTCAATTTCTATTCACTTTCTATTCTCTGTTCTGCACAGGACACATTGAGAATAAAGAATCACAAAGATTTGGGTTAAAACTAGCCATTTCTTAGATGTATTTTATAGTTATATGAAGGTCATCTAGGAATAAGGCCCATTAGCACCAAAATCACAGAATGAGTTTCCAGTTATATAAGCTTATATGTCATTAAAACAATTGACAACACTATTTAGAAACAGTCATTTAATCTATTAATAGTTTTTTAATCGATTAATTGACTGACTTTTAAATGGCTTGGAAATATAAGGATAAGCTACTCTTAGTTGTAATATATTATCCTTTTTTATTGCTGATGATATGCTCTTGGTAATTATTTTGAGAGTCTGGGAATATTTTGTTGAAAACTTTTATACCCATGTTCATGAGTGATATTGGTGTATACTTTTTTCTTATGGAATATCTAATTTTAGTGTCAGGATAGTGCTGGCCATAAAATGGGTTGAAAAGTGTCTCCCCACTTTCACGTTCATGTAGAATTAGTATTATTTGTTCCTTTAAATGATCATCCCAAGAAAAGCATAAAAATTATTGGGAAAAAATGAACATTCATTGATTCATAATAAAAATCTCAACAATATAGGAAAAATTGGGAACATCACTATCTAATAAAAAGCACCTACTAAATACTTACAGCTGGCATATTTAATGAATGTTTAAATGTTTTCTAAGTAAGATCAGGGACGTGCCTTTCTCCATCATATTCAGCTTTGTACATGCAGTCCTAACCAATGGAACAGGGCAAGAAAAAGAAAGACATACAGAAAAGGAAGAAATAAAATAATCTATTACCTGGGCATGATGGCACATGGCTATAATCCCAGCAACTTGGGAGAATGAGGCAGGAAGATCACAAGTTACAGACTAGCCTGACTAAGTGAGACCCTGCCTCAAAAAATAAAATGGGATGGGGTGTAGCTCAGTGGTAAAGCACTAATACCACCCCAAACAAAAAATCTTTTCATAAATAACATGATTATCTATATAAAAAATCCCAAGGCAGTTACAAAAGTGGAAGGGCAGGGGGAGGGTTGAACTAATAAGTGTATCTATCAAGGGAGCAGGATACTAAGATATTAAAAAAATTAATGTCTACATATAGCAATGGTGAATTCAAAATAGAAATTCTAAACAGTACCAATAACAGCAGCAACAAAAATCACTAATTACATAATTATAAATCTAACATGTTGAAACTAAAAAACACTGATAGAAATCAAAGATGACCTAAATAAAAGATGAAATGCACCTCCTTTATGGATTACATGACTCAATATTATTAAGACATTAACTTCTCCCAAAATACATCTATAGATTTGACACAATCACCATCAAAATTTTTTTATAGGACTTCTTAAAGAAATTGACAATCTGATTCTAAGATTTATATGGAAAGGAGAAGTAACTAGAAGCCTGAACAATTTAGAAAAAGAACAAAGCTGGATTCATAATATTTGATTTGAACACTTGCTATAAATCAAAACAGTGTGGTAATGGTAAAAGAACAGATACATATATAAATGGCGCAGAAAAATGTCCAGATATACGGTAAACTGATTTTTCACAAAGATGTAAAAAGAATTTTGGATTTGATCTCAAAGAAATATGCTTCTTTCCCATGGCACTAAACCAGAAATTGCAAATACAGATTTCTTCAGCCTTAAGATTTTTCTCTTGGCAAAGGGGACAAAGTGTATTAGTGAAAAAATGATCAACAAATTTCAATGGGGGCTGGGGGGACAAATGAAAATTAACATCCATAGAAAAAGATACTAAAAGAATATTTGCTAGATTTTAAGTTTTCAATATTTCTAGGTTACTAACAAGATAAAAGTTGTGGTAATAATCACTTCAAAGGAGTATAATAAACCTAAATAAGAAGATAAAGAGGGTTGCTGCTTATATTATGTTAAAGCCTATCTACTTTCCTTATATAAAGAATTTTCTGCAAGCTTTGAAAAACAAGAAATAATTATTAAAGTACATGATGAATCTTTATTCCTTGGTGATAAGAAAAATTAAGGGTAAAGAAGAGTATAGCACATGATAAACTAAGAGGGTAATATAAAGTAAACAAGCTGTTGAGAATGAAATAAATAGGAAAAGAGAAGACACATCTGAGTAAATCAAAAATTTTTTACCTTATAGCACTTATTCTTTTAATTGAGTGGCTGGAAGATGTTTCCTCTTCCTCCCCAACCCCCACTCATCAATACCCAAAACAGACTTCAATAAGAGTGGCAGACGGCAAATAATGGTGTGGGAACTATTAAACTGTGCTTCCAAAGGCATGAAAAGTAACTAAATGTCCAGTTTCAAAAGCTTGGAAGGGAAAGGGGGCGTGGCAGGAAAGAGAAGTGACCTGATGGGGCAAGAGAAGATGATTGGAAGATGATTTCATAGTGCAGGAGGTGGATGAAATTACAAGGACTGGGTGGGCGAGTTTACAGAGCTTGGAGTCAGGAAGTGTTGGCAAATTAGTCACCCAGAAAGTACCGGAGTAGGACAATTATGGAATCGGCACTAGCAGGAGGCGAAACGAGGAGGAAGAGCAATAGGAAAACAAGGTGAGTCCCTCAAACCTCAGAGCCCGAGGCCCCAGGAAACCAGATGCCTGGGAAAAGGACTAGCGGAGGGGCTGAGACGTCAGGAGCATCTCCAGGAGCCAGGTGGCAGGGAGCCGGCCTGAAGGGGAGGACCCGCCCGCAGCCGAGTACGAGGGGCTTCGCGGAATTCAATCCCAGCATCCTGGGGAACGTGGAGGTGAAGTCTAGCAGCTAAGCTGGCCGAGAAAACAGAAAGGACTCCGAGGTCCAGGGCGACAGACACCTCACTCACCTGGTTGGTGACCTGAAACGAAACAGACAACACGACTTAGAGACAAACTGGCGCGGATTAGCTGCAGCAGCCCGCCTCCCTCTTCTCTTCCCGAGGCCCCCCGGCTTGGACCCCAGCCGTGCTCACCTCAGGATTGGCCTCCAGCGGCAGCCAGCGCTGACCCTCCATGGTCGCTCTGCCCGGCCCCTCTCCAGTTCTGACAGCCACCGCCGCCGCCGCTTCCGCCCCCGCGCGCCTTGACCTGGGACTGTCCAATCCGCCGCCCCGCCGGGGAGTGCCGAAGGACGAAGAAAAGCTCGACAACCTTCTCGCGACTTTATTACTCCCGGAAGAGCAAAAGCCCAAGCATTATATTTTAAAATGGTATACAATATAAAATTAATTTCTTTAAAAGGTGTTATATCCCTATTTGAGAAAAACATAATGTAAGTCCACTGAGTACTCCCCTCAAACTTGGATTCTCCCTTTCCCAACTGAGCGCTTGTGTTATACGCATGCGCCACGTGCTGGCCTGGGACCGCGTGTTCGCGGGAGCCCTCCCATTCTTGCTGGTCAACCAGAGGCGCTAGGGGGCGCGCCGATGAGTCCTATTCTGCCAGGGCCGGACCAGGTCACAAGGAATCTGAAGGTAGCTAGGCTAGAGGACGACGCGCTTGAGCCCTGGAGTCGTGGCCTGGTTGCTGTTGCTGTTGTTTGTGAGGGTGCAGAAGTAATGCATTGGCCTTTTCTGCTACGCAGAGTGGTGTGTGTGTGTGTGTGTGTGTATCCTGTTAGGCTTGACAAAAAATGTTGGAATACCATACTCAATTAGACATTATACTAAGTGTTGGGACACAGAACTGAGTATGCTACAGTGTACAGTAGGTGGACAAGAAAATTGTCACAATAAAGCGTGATAATATAAGGCAATGATAGCATAAGATTCGCTAGCCCTACAGGTAGAAGTGCAGTTAAAGGGGAAAAGGAGTGTCCAGAAAACTGTCCTGGACACAGTGAATTCCTGGACTGAATCCTTAAAAAATAATAGACAGTAACCCAGCAGAGAAGAGGGTACTCTGAAGAAGGGAATTGGCATTGTGGCTGCAGAGCCTGCTAAAATAAATGATATTGGTGATGCTAGAGAAATAAGCAAGGGCAACTGAAACAAGACATCTGGACTTCATCCTTATAACAGCAGGGAAACGCCAAAGGATTTTTTAAAAAAATATTATTTTTTTATTATAGGTGGACACAATAACTTTATTTTATGTAAGGCTGAGAATCAAACCCAGTGCTCCATGCATGCCAGGAGAACGCTCTGCCTCTGAGCTACAGCCCCAGCCCGGAAACACCAAAGGATTTTAAGAAGCATTTTTAATGTCTCTTCTCCAAGGAACTGTAAATTCCGAAGGCAAACTGTAATGTCTTTTTTGTTCTTCATGTTATTTCCTCAGGACTTAACCCAGTGCGCATATATATATATATATATATATATATATATACACACACACA